TATTGAAAGGATTTAACAAAAAGAGTCAAGGACAGTCTACCAGGACTCAATACAAAGGCAGCAACTCCTCATATCAGAAAGCAGAAACCTCACCTTTCCCACAGAACAATCAATCCCAAACTGGCCGAACAAGACAAAACAGAAATAGTTCCACAGATATAGGGAGATCCCTCAACCGGTCAGTGCAGTGTAGAGAGTGTGAAGGCTTTGGACACATACAGGCTGAATGTGCAACTTATTTCAAGAGGAAGAAGGCTATGTCTGTGGCTACGCTAAGTGATGATGAGGAGAAAGCATCTAATGATCAGTTAGATGACAATGCGGGAAACTTTGTTGCCTTCTTTACAGCTACAGAGAATTAGTCAGACGAAAACGAATCCGATGGAGAATCCTATACATCAACAGATGATTTTGGAGAGAGGCATACTCAACTTGAAATGGAATTTGCCAAACTGGTTGCAAGCTGGGAACAACTAGTGAAAGTCAATAAAAATCTGAATGACGAACTGAAGCAAAGGGATGATCTTCTGAAAGAAACTAAATACAGATCTTGTCATAAAAGAAGATATTTATCACACATATAAGATCTCGAGAAGGAAAACTGATAAAGGAATTGGAAGATCTGAAGAAGAATATCAAGATGATGGATACCACATCAACGTTAGACAAAATTCTGGACTCTGGTAGAAATCCAAATGATAAAAAGGGTCTTGGATTCGAACGAGGAGAATCTTCGAATAGTGTACCTATGTTCATCAAAAAGGGTATGTCAACTGCTACACCAGTTCACAATTTTGAACGAGGACAGTCATCCCGGCCAGTTCAGAAAAATGAAAAAAGGAAGGTATATGATCGAACAGTAGATACTGACTTTGGCAGAGTAGCACCTCAATCTCAGTACTCAAAGTTCAAAAATAAGTTTGTCAGAGTCAGACAATACACTCCCATTTGCCACTACTGCCAAACAAAAGGTCACACTTGACCTAAATGTTATTCCTTCTACAGAGATCAAAGAAAAGAAAAATATCAGAACAAGACTATTACACCGTTCACGAGACAGGTTTGGGTCAGAAGGTCATAAGTTATGTGCTATCCCACTATAGTTCTGAGTGCTTATACGACTGAAGCTAGATGGTATTTCGACAATGGTTGTTCCAGGCATATGACTGGAAATATAAAGTGCCTTGTGGCTATTCAATCTAGCAGTGGATTTGTTACATATGGCGACGGGCAAAAAGGCAAAATAGTTGGAAAAGGTACCCTGAATGTACCAGGTTTACCTCACTTAGAAGAAGTTTTGCTAGTCAGTGGTCTGAAAGCAAATCTGATTAGCATCAGTCAGTTGTGTGATCAAAACTGGAATGTGTGCTTCGATCGTAACTGTTGCAGAGTCCGTGACAAAGCAGATCAATTAGTCATGGAAGGAACACGATCCTCAGACAACTGTTATGTTTTGACAAACGAAAATGCTTGTCACCTATCAAAATCGGATGAATCAAAACTCTGGCATAGACGACTAGGTCACATAAACTTCAGAGATATGGATAAACTGATCAAACTAGAAGCTGTGAGAGGAGTACCTAAGATCAGAATTGAACGGGAGAGAGTTTGTGGTGCATGTGCCATTGGGAAACAGATAAGGACTCCTCAGAAAGCCGTAAGAGTTATCACTACTGAGAAATGTCTAGAGCTTGTTCACATAGACTTCATGGGGCCAACTCAGACTGAAAGCATTGGCAGAAAGAAATACATATTTGTGTGTGTAGATGATTTCTCTCGGTACAACTGGGTATACTTCCTAAGAGAAAAATCTAAAGCCTTCAATGCCTTTAGAACCTTGTGCATAAGGGTTCAAAAGGAAAAGAACGAGCCTATAATAAAAATTCAGAGACTGAGAAGTGATCATGGAAAAGAATTTGAAAACTCTCTATATTCAGATTTCTGCTCCGAGAATGGAATATCACATGAATTCTTAGCTTCTAGAACAGCCCAACAGAATGGTGTGGAGGAAAGAAAGAATCGGACCTTGTAGGAAATGGCTAGAGTTATGTTACATGCTTCTCACTTGCCACAGCGCTTCTGGGCTGAAGCAGTTCACACAGCCTGTCATACAGTGAATAAAGTCTATCTTAGACCAGGAACGACCACAACACCATATGAGATCTGGAAGGGAAAGAAGCCAAAGTTGAAGTACTTTCATGTGTTTGGGACTAAGTGTTATGTGCTGATTGATAGGGAACAAAGAGGGAAGTTTGAACCGAAGAGCGATGAGAGCATCTTTCTTGGCTACTCTCCAAACAGTCGAGCCTATAGAGTCTATAACAAGAGCACTCAATCTGTAATGGAATCAGTAAATGTTGTTATAGACGACAATCCAGACGAATCCGATGAAACAACAGTGACTGATCCAGAGACAGATCTTCCTATCAGTGAACTGAATACTGCCGATGACAACCGTCAGCCCAAAACACAAGAATCCTCAGATGAAGATCAAGAAAGTTCTGAACAGGAGACCATTCTTATTGATGATACGGGTAAAGACAAACCTACCAGAACTCAGAAAAATCACCCATTAGATAACATCATTGGTGATCCAACAGATGGGATGAAGACCGGGAGCAGAGTAAGAAATAATCTGATAGAAATATCTGGATTTGCTTGCTATATCTCAAAGATAGAACCAAGAAATATTAAAGAAGCTTTACAAGATGATCTGTGGATCAAGGCAATGCAAGAGGAGCTACACCAATTTGACCGAAATCATGTTTGGGATCTAGTACCAAGACCTGATCGTGTCAACATAATTGGGACAAAGTGGATCTTCAAAAATAAAACTGATGAAGCTGGGAATATTGCAAGGAACAAAGCTCGGTTAGTGGCACAGGGATACACTCAGATAGAGGGAATTGACTATGATGAAACGTTTGCACCTGTGGCAAGATTAGAGTCAATCAGAATTCTATTGGCAGTCGCATGCATTTTGGGATTCACACTGTTTCAGATGGATGTTAAGACAGCGTTTCTAAATGGATATCTGCATGAAGATATCTATATGGCACAACCTAAAGGATTTGAAGATCCAGATTATCCATCCCATGTCTACAAGCTCAGAAAAGATCTCTATGGTCTTAAACAAGCCCCACGAGCATGGTATGAACGACTGACACAGTATCTGCTACAGCACGGTTATAAACGAGGAAGTGTCGACAAAACATTGTTCGTAAAAGCCACTGGAGGTCATGTCACCATTGCTCAGATCTATGTGGATGACATTGTGTTTGGATCTACTTTACAAAAATACACCGATGAGTTAGTAAAGGTCATGAAGGAAGAATTTGAGTTGTCCATGGTTGGTAAACTGACATATTTCCTAGGGCTGCAAGTTAAGCAAAGTCCTGAAGGGTACTTTATCTCACAAGAAAAGTATGCTAAGAATTTAGTCAAGAAGTTTGACCTGAAATCATGTAAACCATCCAGGACACCAATCTCTACCTCTACAAAAGTATCTAAAGATGACACAGGTGTATCAGTGGATAACACAGTCTACCGAAGTCTGATAGGATGTCTGCTATACTTGACGGCTAGTCAACAAGACATAATGTTCAGTGTTGGAATATGTGCAAGGTATCAATCTGATCCAAAGGAATCACATCTGATAGCTACTAAGCATATTCTGAAATATATAAAAGGAACAATTCAATATGGGTTGTGGTACTCCAAGGACAGTGAACTGAGTCTGGTTGCTTATTGTGATGCTGACTGGGCAGGAAATATTGATGACCGAAAGAGTACTTCTGGAGGATGTTTCTTTGTTGGTAATAACTTGGTATCGTGGCTGAGTAAAAAACAAAATTCAATTTCTTTAAGTACTGCAGAGGCAGAATACATAGCTGCTGGTGGATGTTGTACTCAGTTAGTATGGATGAAACAGATGCTTTTGGATTATAGCCTTACTCAAGGAATTATGACACTCTATTGTGATAATGTCAGTGCTATAAATATCTCAAAGAATCCAGCTCAACACTCCAGAACGAAACATATTGATATAAGACATCACTACATCAGAGACTTGGTAGAATCAAAGGAGATTGAGTTAGAGTATATTCAAACAGATAAGCAATTGGCTGATATTCTGACTAAGCCCCTAGATGCAAATCGGATTGAGATTCTCAGATCTGCTCTTGGAATCTGCAGGATTGATTAATAAGGCAGTAAGCTATACAGAAGAAGACTATATGGTATTAAGTTTCCCGGTCAATAACCAGCTTTGACTTCCTTTTAAAACTCTCTTCTGTTTTGTTAAGAGAATATCTTAACCTATATTACCATAAAGTAATTAGCCTTTTTCAAATTTCAAATCTTCTCTGCATCCGTTTCCTGCCTAAAAAGAAGGCATACCGTTGCGTCAATCACATCAGCTCTGCATGTAATCTGACGAGCTGCATTTATTAGGGTTCTTCGCCCTTGGGTCTATATTTGAGTATCGGGTCAGACTTGAAAGAACACAGAAGTTCAAAATATCTCTGCCCACCGATTGATTTCTCTCTGCTCTTCTACCTAGGATTTCTTTCTCCGCTTTCCAAAATTTCATACCAATGGCGGATGCAGTTCGTAACATTATCATCAAGCTTGGGAGAAAGGTCCATTCACAAGAGACAGCCACCAAGCATGTCAAAACACTACTCCAGTTAGCTATGAAGAAGAAGTTGAAGCTTGATCCCCTCCTCCGTGATGAAATCATGGTCACAGTGATGTCGGATTATCCAGAGTTCTACGCCGACTAGTCCGAAGATGATACCAGTTAGCTCCTGTTGTTGGCCTCCGAAGCTACTGATGAGATTTCCCTAGCCTTTATCCCAGAGCCTTCAGATGGAAATCGAGCCGGGGCGTTTCTCCAATATTTTGCACAAAGGGCTCTTGAGTCAGAAGAGATCTCCCATCGAAGAGCAGTGGCACAACCCCTATACCTACAGGCTGCCGAGAATGAAGCTAGACACCGAATGGAGATTCTCCGTAACAGGTCAAATTCTTCTGATTCTCCTATTGAAATTTCTCCTGATAAACCTGATGATTTTGTATCTGCTGATATTCCGTCTGTTGTGCTTACTGTGTCTGATAATGTGAATGTGTTATTATCTGTGAAATCCTCTGTGTCTGATGATCCCTCATGCATCCCCTCTACGAAGCCTGAGCCTTTGAAGGAAATTGTTGATGTTATGTCTGATGAGAAAGATAAACCCTCTGAGGAGACCAACAATCTAAGCTTGGTTGTTTACTCGGCTGATAATGTTGCTCTGCCTCCTTTTGTGATTGTTGATGTCCCACATGAAATCTGTCCCTCTGATAATCTCTCTGGTTTGCTTGATGAAGTTGAGACTGTTAAACACTCAAGCACCCATGAATCTGAAAGAATAGATGGAGTCCCAGTCTACACCTCCACATCTTTGGCTGAAAGTCTTGAACATATCCGGCACTTTGCTGGTTTACCCTCTGCCTCCATTCCAGAACCATACCGTGTCATTCATCCTTCTGAGTCCTCGAGTGAAGATGAAAAGATCCTTGCTGAAGTCTATGGCACCCAAGCTCATGCATTTAAGCCCCCTATTGTTGAGGCTACTGCACATCCTGATTCCACCACCTTCAAAATTAAAGAAGTAACAAATCTCTTGGAAGTTCTTCTGCCCATGTTCCTGATTCCAGTCACTCTGTGTCTCCTGTTCATTTCCCATCCAAGGAGACGAGAAGATCAAAACGAAAGAATGTTCCTGTGAAGGTTGTTGTTGAGACGGGTGATGACAATGCTGATGTAGATCAGCCTGAGAAGAGAAGAAAGTCCAGTGAGTCTATCGAACTTGAAGGTAATCCTCCAATTTAACAAGTATTCAAGACACTACGGTCGTCTATTAAGCAAAAAGGTCCTGCTGCTGCTCAACCTGCTATTGTTCTCACATCCTCTACCAGAAAGGGGAAACCATCTACTCGTTCCAGAGGTCGGAGTATCACTCATGAGGTTCAACTTGTTGAAAGTACTGACACATCTATTTACAAGCCTCAGTTTGTTACCTCCACTGCTCAAGGTAAATGGTCCACTATGGTCAGGAGAGATCTTATTGTTCAACGATCTGTTGATGAAAACCAGATGAATTCAGTTTGCGACATCCTGCCACTGCTGAGTGAAGTGGGCTTGCTGAAGATTGTCTCCTCTATTTGTCCGTACTCGAAGCTCCTCACGTATGAATTCTACTGTAATTTCAATAAAGAGATAGACAATCTGACTGGGCCACCACCAATGCAAATCTTCATTCGAGGTAAATGGTACGTCTTCGGCCCTGACATAATCAATGAATACTATGGCCTGACAGCGGTGCACGAAGAAGCAATCACTGACTGGGATTCAGTGGCCAAGACCCTAACTGGTAGACAGACTGATACATGGCCTTCTGGTGACAAGGATTATCTACCGAGCTCTCAGCTCACCTCCAAATATGTCATATTGCATCGTCTTGCGCTTCACAACTGGCTTCCATCGGCCCATTTCCATACGGTGGGCAAGCAATTCGCAGGTCTTTTGTTTCGGATTGGAACAAAGATGACGTTTGATTTGGGGGCCTGGATTTATAATCATATCGTCACCTTGATCCATCCACGTGAACAGAAGGTAAGGTTTCCCTTCCCTAATTTGATTTTTGGAGTCCTAACAACTCAGGGCCTAGAGCCAATGCCTACTGAGGTGATAAGTCCGACTCTCCTCTACACTGTTGACCGTCGTCTTTTGACTGGAAACCATATTTGTGATGTTACACCGGTGATTGCTCCCTCCAATTCTGAAGCTGATACAGTGACTGATAATTCGCCGCATGCAAGGGATCTCCAACTTTCTATTCAGTTGAAGGCAAGGGTCTCTGAGCTCGAGACAGTTCACTGCATAATTGCGAAACAGCTGACAGGGGCTCGTACTGAATTGGCCACCGTTCTTCTTCGTTTAAGCTTGTCTGAATCCACTGCTGCTGAACATGCGATGTCTAACAGTGAGACTCCCTCTAATGATTGACCATGCTTTGGCTATCATTGGCAAAAAGGGGGAGTATGATCTCAGGGGGAGTATGATCTCAGGGGGACTGTTTATGTGTTTTTGTGTACCTTCTGGCCCTGGCTGGGCGTTGATTGTGATGGCACAACCTTTTTTTGTTTGAAGAATGTTTATGACTGTCGTTTTGATCCAGCATGACTTGTATGTTGTGTTTTATTTCCGCTATGCTTTGTAATCAGATATTTGGTTTGATTTTTATGCTAGCCTGTCTTAGTTATTTCAGTTTGTGTCTTTATACGTAGTCGAGTTGTTTTACCAAATAATAGCCAAAGGGGGAGTTTGTTAGTGTTTTAATTGCTCAAAAAACACCAATTTATAATTGGCAATATTATTATGGCAAACTAAGATAGGATTAGCTTAGTGTCGGTTTTGTTTTACAGAGGACTGATCAATCAGATACGACAACAGAGGGACTGACACTGAAGATCTGTTTTAGGAAGCTATTTCCTTAAAGGTTGTACGCGGTTTAAAGAAGACAAATTTGGAAAGAAGATCAGCGTATCTGTCTTGGAAAGGTATGGACCGAATCTCTAAGATTACATTCTTCAAATATTATCCTACCATCTACAATCAAATATATCTATGGAGAGTGTTCTTACTATGGAACTATAAGTACTCTTATTCGATAAGAATTAGGGTTACGCTTTCAAGAAGAAAGAAACACTCTAAAACAGTTTTATGAGATCAGATCGTTGATTATCATGCCTCTTATCAATACAACATGTTCATGGTGATTATGATGAAGAACTTGAGAAGAATTATTGTTGATTAAACGAAAGGACGCTACGATCACAATGTTGTGGGAACAAGTAAGAAGAGCGTTATTGAAGTGGACTGCATCAGAGTTGGCTCTCCAAGTGAAGGAATTTCATTGGACTTCTGTATGCATGGCTCTCCATCTTCAACCATCCACTAAACCTGTGTAGACTGGGTATGTACCTTGTGTGGGACACTTGGGTGAGATTATTGTTTCTCTACCTTTGTACATTGGATTATGATTTAGTGGATTGGACGCTTATGTGATCGTCCTCCAGACGTAGATACACACTGTATCGAACTGGATAAACATCTTGTGTGTTGCTTTGTGTCGTTATCTCTTTCTATAAACATCTTAATGATCTGCCTTACTGACTGACTTCATCGTTGAATCAGTCAGTCCCTTTCATCAGTTGGATAATCCATTTAATTTGATTATGTTGGTCCCAAAAGAGGTAAGTTGAAAGTATAGAGGGGGGGGGGGGTGAATAGACTTTCAAACTTTTTCGCACAGCACAACAATTGCTAAGCCAGAGATAAACCAAAACTCTTAACTAGATTGTTAGAGTATGGTGCACAGCGGAAATAAATAAACATAAAGTGTGTGTGAGAATGTGTGAGCAGTATATCTCGTGCAGAGCGAATATGTAAAGAGCGGTAAGTAAAGAAAGCAGTAAAGAACACAAGACAATTATAGTGGTTCGCGAGGTGGTGTAATCCTCCTACTCCACTTGCTCTTATCTCCAAGAGCAATTCACTATATCTACCACTCCTTGGTTCCAAGATACAATGAATTTCCGTGATCTAGTGCTTTGATCACAAAGCCCGCACTAATCACGCCCAGTAACACCACACTGCTGCTTCGGGTTTCACGTCGCCGCGCTACTATCCCAGGATTTCACGACTCCGCGTTACTTTCCCCCCGTCTTCCACACTCCGGTAGAAACGTATCCCGTGATCTGGTGCTTTGATCACCAAGCCCACACCAATCACGCCCAGTGCCTCCGACACTGCTGCTTCGGATCTCACAGCTCCGTGTGACAATCCAGGATTTCACAGCTCCGTGCTACTTTCCTCCCTTCTCTTGTTTTGCTCCAAAACAAGTGTTGTCTTGCTTCCAACTTCTGAGACTCTGTAGATGATCTTCAATGATGAGCAGGTCTCTTTGATGAAGATAAACACTCTGAAATGATTTCTCTTGATAGCTCTTAGTGTTTTCTCTCTTTGAATATATCAAGTAAAGCACTTGATATTTTTGCTCTGTTTTGCTCTGTTTAAGAACTCTCAGAATATTTCTCTTTTGAAGCTCTCTGAGTTCTTTTTCTTTTCTCACTTCTCACTTGAAGATTTTTGGTATGCTCTGTACCAAATGAGATTTTTGCTCTATGCTCTTTCAAGCTTAATTAATTGCTCTATTCGATCTCTTTGATGAGTTTCGAATTTTTTGCTCTTGCTCTATTGCTCTTCACACTTTTTCGTTCACTACTCTTCTTCTCTTCAAGTCTTCATATCTTCATCATTTTATAGCTGGTAATGAGAATCTGTCCGTTGGAAAGAGACGCTCTCATTTTTGAAATCTTGTATCTTTTTGTCAGAGATCTTATCTTATCTTCTGCAAAGATGTCGGAAAGGATAAGCTAGCCGTTTGATGGATCTTCATCTCCATGTAAATGAGCTCCCAAACTTCATCTGATATTTCCTCTGGTTTTACGTTGAGTGGGAATATCTGGGTGTAGAACGGCTTCTCTGATCAGCTCTGGAGTGGTACTTGTATCTTTGGAATTTAAAAATATTCATCAATTTAATCACATACTAGTATTTTTCCTTGTGATAATATTTTCACTGTAAATTCATCTTCATCTTCTTCATTCTCACGTCTGGGTGTTCTCAGACTTCAAATTGGTTTTGAACTTCCACCCAATTTGAATTTCTCCTTTGTAATTGACACCCAATTTCAATTGGCTTGTAATTGGCACCCAATTTGGAGAAATTTCAATTGGCTTGTAATTGGCACCCAATTTGAATTTCTCCATTGTAATTGGCTCCCAATTGACTTGCAATTGGCTCCCAATTGACTTTGACTTGCAATTGGCTCCCAAACTGCTCCTGGTGCTTTCAATTGCTTCCCAATTTGAATTGTTGACTTTGACTTCGAACTGCTCCTGGTGCTTTCAATTGCTTCCCAATTTGAATTGTTGACTTTGACTTCGAAATTGGCTCCCAGACTTCTCCTGTATTGAATAATCAATTTCAATTGCTATGAAATCGGCTCCCAAGTAGTGCAATTGCATCTCAATTCCCATAATACAACCTAGCAATCGGCTCCCAAGTAGTGCAATTGCATCTCAATTCCCATAATACAACCTCAATTGGCTCCCAATTTTCACTTGTAATCGGCACCCAAAGCTTAAACTAACGCCGAACTCCATTAGATTAATTTAATTTGGCTTCTCAAATTTTACCTTCTAAAATTGTTGATGGTGAGTTTCAAACTTGAGCCATTTCACATAATATATCAAGCATCATCCACTTCGTTCGTACAGCTTTTGATTAAATCTCCAATCACATTTGATGTACTCCTTTCTTTCCATAGATGCTTGATCTCCAAGTCAATTTCATGCATTCTTCCAGTATTAATTTTCTTCACGAAAATTCTTCTGGGATATCTTCTTTGAGTAGCGTTGACGTGAATTATTGTATCATTCATCTTCTTCTTCAATTTGTCATTTTCTCCAGACAAATTCTTGATTTTAGGCTTTATATCTTCTTATTCTATTTTCATGCATCTTCCTCTGTTTTTCTCTTTTCATATTTAAATAATTTCCCGATCATGGTCTAAGACTCTACTAGACCTATAAATAAAATTGGGGGATCTACAAATACAAATTTGGCATATCAAAACCATTACACTTTATTCCTAACAATTTCCCCCCTTTTGATAATGCCAAAACCTATACTCAGTCATTGGCTTTAAGTCTTTGAAAAATAATCTTTTTGCTCAATTTTATTTGACAAAGCCAAGATGAGTTTAACAATGGTTTTCTAGACACAATCAAAAGAAACTTGTGAATTAAATTTTTAGACAAGATCCTAAACGCATCTTGAATTATTTTTATTTTGATCATCATCAATTTTTAATATTGTCGTGCGTTTGACATATTTCTTGTCTTTTAATTCACGAAAGTCTAATTACATTAAACAAATAGAATTAAAGACTCAAAATAGACCATGGGAAATTATTATTGATATATTTCGAAAATATTGAGAAAAACGCAACAGAGGTTCGATAATAGAAAATATCAGCTTAAGAGAATTTTCAGATTACCTTCTGGGTTTCTTCACACCAGAGTCTTTCTTCAAAATTTCCTTGACATGTTCTCTGAGCTTGAAGAAATCATCTTTGAACTTTGCATTCTGAAATTTCTTTGTAAGCTGTCCGGCCATGTAGTGTCCATAAGCTTCTTTGATATTGTTGCCCGGAAGAACTCCGTTTTCCCACCATAAGACACATTCTTCGAAGCTTCTTTCTTCTCCAAGATTCATGCCCATATTTCCAGTGAAATCTCTTAGTTCATACCACATCTCGGTTCTTTTCCTTTTGCCTTCTTCTTCTTTGTTCTTCTCCGAGATCCATTGGGCTTGATCGGCTGCAGGTCATTTCTTGATCATGCTTGGTAGATTTTCCTTAGTCCATATTGTTGTCTGAGTGGCGGTACCCTTAGAGCATTCAAACCAGCCACGCTGTTCAGCAACCTTCGATGTACTCGTACCAAGACTAGGATTCGCGAACTGAGCAAAACCAATCTGAGATGGTCCTTGTGAGGATTGTCCGCGGCTTCGGCCTCTACCTTGAGTAGACACTACTGGCTGTTGTTGACTTCCAAGAATAAATTCTTGTTGTTGCAAAGCCAAGTGATTGAGAATTTCTTCCCCCCTTTTGGCGTTATCAACCAAAAATGCAAGGGTCTTAAAGTCTCGGTCTTGGTTTGCCTTCACAGTTTCAACACTATTGTGTGTTTCAATGGAAACGGTTTGCACGTTGTCCAACTTGTTTGTTGTAACTGCGAGTTCAGCTTCAAGTTTGTTGATTCGGCTTTCTTGATCTTGAATCGCCTTGATCTGTCTCAAGTGACGTTCGTTGTTAATCTTTTCAGCTGCTTCACGTTCCTTCTTCATGAGCTGAATCACTTCAAGTAAGCCTTTTG